TGCGCCTTGATAATAACATAGTTGTCAGAATAGCTAAAACAAGAAATGCGGCGGTCTGTATTACTTCAAGAGGAGGGCAAAGCGTCGCCTGTTTTCGCTCCGGACTGGCCCCTCGCCAAATCCCAACCACGAGCCTTGCAATTACTGCCCATAGCCTGCCGGAGGCATATACTGCGGACCCAGAGATTAAAGAGACGGGGTTTCGGATTTGGGGATGTTGTGCCCCAGCACATGGTGCGCAGGCGCCCTACAAACCCCAAGCGAGAGAGTCGTCAAGTGGCTTCATCCGACGCCCAAAACCCTAAATCCTTAAGCTCTATAAGCCCTACACCCGAAACGGTTACTGTACTTGCCTCAGGCTGTTGGACCAACGCGCCCAGCTCAAGGCGCCCTGGGTTTGGGGTCCTAGGTTTGAGGGTTTAGACGTGGCTTAGGGTTTGAGGTTCGGGGCTTAAGCTTTCTTCTATCGACCTTGTGATGGACCCTTATCCCCCAGTTCTAAACAGCACCAGCCGCGAGCCTTGGAAATTAGGGCTTTAGGGGTTGAGGTTTTCGCCGAAAGCCTGGAGATCGTCGCCTCGCCTTATGCGAATCACGCGAGCTATTCTGAACGAGGTTCGTCTCCATTTTTGCCTAAGGGCTCATGTACTCAGACTATGTGTGACAATGGCCTAGATGCCGTCCCTATTTACTTACTTTAGGGCCCAAGTATATACCATATGGGTACATGAAATCTCGGGGGTACAGGGCCCTAGCTTCAGGAAGATTCCAGGAAGCACCGGCTCACCCAACCATGGAATCGTATAGACCTAGAGGAGGACATTGCCATGAGGTGGCGTGCGATGCTCCGAGATCTGCAGCGTCATGGGAGGCTCTTCCCTAAACTCGAAACCACTAAACCATATAAGCCCCTAACCCTAAACTGCCCTAGGCCGCAAACCCCTAGATGCTAAACCCCTCTGATGGCACCTGGCCGCGAAATTTCCTTCGAGCGACTCTCGTGATGATTGTCTTGATGCATGCTCTAGTTTTAATCACACGAGTTGGCTTTTGTTCTCTGTCCTTTCTGGCACATAGGAGGAATAAACGTTCAATTGGGTTTAGGGTTGTCTGCGGTTGAGGGTTGTTCAGTACGATGCCAGGTCTTATGGTGTTAGAGCTTGCGGCTGCAACATGTTGGATGGGGACTGGAATCAGGAGTCACACGTATCAGCCTAAACCCTATACCCTACAAATCCTAAACGCTAAACCCTATAAGCCAAATCCCGAAACCCTATACAGTACCCTAGAAACCCGAAGCCCTAAAGCTTCGCTGTAGGCCCGAAGACTTCGGGATTGGGGCTTATGGGGCTTCCGCTTCAAGCAGGGGCCTCAACCCTAAATCCCCAAAACCGAAACCCCTGGCCTAAACCCTAAACCCTAAACCCTAAGCCGGTTCAGGGTTTAGGGCCCTAAGCCCTAAATCCCAAACCTTATAAACTCTAAGTCGGCATTCGTAAGCCGGTCATGGAGCCTCTTTCAGGTGTCCACCCACGATGGCCGAACCGCGATCATGCTTGCCGCATTGGAAGGTGGAAGCTTGACATGGACAGGCAATGTTATAATCATAAAAAGTATCACTACAAGCCATAAGGACAACAATAATGATGCTAATCGGACTCATAGAATAATTATGCTGGTAAACATGATGACTGAACCCTAGGGCTCGACAGGCTCGGGGGCGGAGGCTGAGGGTTCGCTCAACTAGCTCTAATTGGGAGTTTCAGAAAATTAGGGGGTACCTTATTTTGGGGTCCTTATAATAGGGATCCTATTATTCAGGGTACTATATTAGGGCCCCCTATTGTCGGAAATCCCCAATTGCCCTGGAAGGGTCAAGAAATCTATGCGAAGCAAGGGTTTAGGGTTGAGGGTCTCAGGTTCAGGTTTTAGGAGTTTAGGGTTTAGGGAGGGTTTATGGTTTAGTTAAGGATCATAGGGTGCAGAGAACAAACGGCTTGGAAGGTCGGTTATAGGGGTCTAATTTAAGAAAAACACCAATATCAGTTTAGATAATTAGCCACATTATTCCTTAAGGCTCCCTAATGATAGTTCTAATGCAATATACCACTAGGGGTCGGAAATGGGTTTTTAGAGTTCCGTATAACTACCCCCCCCCCCCC